AGGCTTTGCACTGCCTCCCCACTTCCTCCTGGATGACGCAGGATGCCCAGAGCCCCATGGTCCAGTTCTCCATCTCGTTCAGTTCCAGGTTGAGGGTCTTCCAGTGGGGCAGATAGGTTGTGATAATGGCCAGAACCCATCCTAGCAGGGAGAGGGAAAGCCCTACAGACTGCATGGCCGTTCTGAGGACGAAAGCCATTGGGACAGACGTCGTCGTAACTCAGCTACTCTATAGGATCCGCCGCCCTGTCTGGCTGACCGTGGTGTGATGGTCCTGATTCTATGCCACCCGGAATATAAGCTTTGCCCATTAACTCTCTGGGCACTCTGAACTACGTGTTTGTTCCTCTTGAATATAGTGTTTCATGGAAAGGGTCAAGGACTCTGTTAAAAGCTATGAGTTAGGCTTTCTGATAAGGATTTGATCTGTTCCCTTCCAATTTGCTTGGTAAAATTCTATCCCCAACGCTTGACAAGTATAAGTCTAAGGATGAACAAAGAGGTCTCTATGACCCCTCACCCTAACGTACAACGGAAATCTTTGTGCTTCAATATGGATTAATTAGATCTTAAGTGGTGATAAAAGGTCAGCTCCTTCCACAACAGGACCTCATTGTAGCAGCTGCAGCTGAGATTTCAGGGATGTAAGACAAGGCCTTGTAAAGAAAGGTAGACTGTTTCCCTATAATCTATTCTCGGCGTTCCTTAACCTACACAAGAGCTGGGCCCGTGTCCCTGAGTGTCACAGGGATTCGCTTGGTACTTGGCATGAAGCTTTCCTCAGATTCCTTTGAAAGCTAGAGACTGGTTCACCGTGTTAATTAAAACGAGAAGGACCTGGGTTGATGCCCAGAGAAACTCGGTTAGGAAAGGGGCATTGTGGGAAACTCCAGCTCTCCCTTACTCTTCCGTCCATCCCTCGGTAGGCACTGGGTAAAGCCTGATGTCTCTGGCAGCAGTTTGTGGCTCAGGACTCCGTTGTCCTTGTCCTTTGGGCTGCAAAGGCCGAGGAGCTGCAGGCAGGAAGGTGTCTGTCTGTCCACTTCAAGACAGAAGTCTGGTATGAGAACAAGAGCCACGATGGGGCCGACCTCTGAGGCCTTATCTTGTTGTTTTGGTTCAGGACACACCTTGAGAGCATACTTCAGGCGAGCGTGACCCCCTCAAAGAACACTGGGCCTCCCAGGCCAGGACAAAAGGCCGCATGCTCCGGATTCCCAGCGCTGTTCCGTCTCTGGCCGGGCCCAGCCCCTCAGAGCCCACGGCCTGGATGAGTGCAGCTCGGTGAAGGAAAACCACCCTGCTTCATGGAGCACAAAGCAAGGCTAGTTCAGGACCGGGGAAAATCACTCACAGCGCCAGTACAGACTCCAAAACCCAGTGCATCCTCCAGGAGCTAAAGAGTTTTAGAGGGTGGTGTTCATTTATTTATTTATTTATTTACTCAGCTTATTTTTTTTTTAAGGTTGTCAGACTGAAGGTATGGCTCAATGGTAGAGTCCTTGACCAATGTGCAAAGGGCCCTGGGGTCCATTCCCAGCGCTTCAAAATTAGGTTTGCCAACACGTGACGTTTTCTCCTTCCTGGGTGCTCGGCTCCACCCAGGGCCAACATACACTAAGCAGGCAGTCTGCCACGAAGCTATCCCAACCCTTAGTTTCCTTCTTTTTGCCGATTTTCAGGATCCCTTAGGCTAGGTCGATGTCCTTAGTGTACACATAGAGGCCCATGATCCAGAAAGGGCTGGCACTGGGCTGGGCCCTGTCACCAAGAGATGGGGTAAGACGGAGCTCAGATGTCCTTTGCAGAGACTGTCGGGGTGATGGAGGTCCAAACAGCCACCACAGTTGGGGAAAACATGGATGTCCCAATGAGACCTCCTTTTTAAAAACATAATGAAAACAGGCCATTTTGTGAGATAGTGAGTTTTCTGTCAAGATGTGTTTAAACCAAGAAGGATGCCCTGCCTAGGACAAGCTCTGCTATGAGGTCAGTTGGACCTGTATAATCTCTGCACACCTTTCTCACTCACTTCTTACAGCTTTGCAAGCAATGTTGGCCGAGTGTGGTCTGGCCTGGAATCCAGTACCTAAAAGGGACCCCCAAGAAGAGTGGTACAGCCCCACCAGGACCCTGTGGGGTCCTCATCTGAGCGAGAAAAGATCATTGGCAAACAACTAAATCAGGGGGCCGGAAAAAAAAAAATGAAGAGCTTTGAGGCAGGCCAGGTGGCTCAGTGGTTACCTGAGCCTCAGTGGTCTCAGTGGGAGACCTGCTCCCAAGCCTGATGACCTGGGTTCCATCCCCAGGTCCCACACGGTGGAAGGAGAGAACAAACTCCTGGGCGTCATCCTCTGATCTCCAAAAATTTGCAGTGGTGTGGGCACACTTGCACACACATGTACCTAGATTAAAAAAATTCTAGTTTCTTTAAATTTATTTTACCTTGTTTTTATGCATATGGGCATTTTATCTATATGTATACCTGTGCACCACATCTGTGGGGCTGGAAAGAGGATGTTGGAACCCTTGGAACTGGAGTTGCAGATGGTTGTGAGCCACCATGAGGTGCTGGAGAGTCCAACCTGGGTCCTCTAGAAGAACAGCCACTGAGCCATCTCTCCAGGTCCTAAACTAATACATTAAGAGCCAGGGGCTTAAAGGCGGATACCTGGACCACAAGGCACAAAGGTCCATGAAGGAGCCAGCAAGTGGAAGGGAACCCCAGATACAGATCCAGGAAGGCCTCCCACCTCTAGAGCGTGGATGGAGGGGACACTCAGCCAGAAGACAAATTCTTCCACCTACTCACTCTCTATTCCATATATGTTCATTCTGTCTCGGGGGAGCAGACAGACAGACAGACAGACAGACAGAGAAGCAGAACTCACAAAGTCAGCATGCACTGAAAGAGAACGTGCACAACCATCCCAGCTGACCAGAGCCTGTCACAGGTTTAACACTAAGAATCACACACCAGGAGAATGCACTTGGTCCAGGGCGTCGATTAACATGCCGTAACCAACCGTCCCAATACACTGTTATTTAAGACAATCCTCTCCGTGTATTTTGTGACTCTACCATTTGAGCAACCCGTGAAGACACAGAGGTGCTGAAAGAGCCTGGGTGTGGTGGTCACACCTTTGATCCCAAGGCTTGCGAGACAGATGCAGGCTGATCTCAGTGAGTTCAAGGTCAGCCCGGTCTATGTAGTGAATTCCAGGCCAATCAAGGCTACATAGCATCTCAGAAAAAAAGAAAACTGAAAGACCATGTTACTCATGACTGACGTAGGTAGGTATGTTAAAGTTATTTTACTGTAAGAAAATACTGGAGACAAGTTTCAAAGAAGGAAGGAACAACATTTGGTGAAACAGCCTGGAATCCCAGTACCACTAAAGCAGAAGCAGGATTCTGACTTTGGGTCCACATAGTAAATGCCGGTCAATAAAATAAAAAGAGGAAAAATTGTTTTGACTTAGTTCTGATCTCTTGGCCCACGGCTCTGGGGCCTGCCTGTAGTGAAGCAGCATTGCAGAGGGAGAGCAGCTGGAACTCAGAAGAGCAAGGATGCCCCTGGAACGTGAGGCTGCAGGGGTGGCGGGCAAGGATGCCCCGGGAACGTGAGGCTGTAGTGGGCAGTGGAATGTTTAATACCAAGTGCCAGGATTTCAATATAAAGATAATTAAGAACCTGGAAAGGTTATAAGCAAGCATGTGGCGTGATCACAGCTGCATTTATTTATTTATTTATTTATTTATTTATTTATTTATTTATTTATTTTTTCGAGACAGGGTTTCTCTGTGTAGTTTTGTGCCTTTCCTGGGACTCACTTGGTAGCCCAGGCTGGCCTCGAACTCACAGAGATCCGCCTGCCTCTGCCTCCCGAGTGCCGGGATTAAAGGCGTGCACCACCACCGCCCGGCCACATCTGCATTTTATAAACTAACCGGTAGTCCCAGGGCCCTTCGTTGTATCACCGAGATCTAAAAGTCACAACCATACTGTCTCCAGACAAGCAGTGTGGCCTGACTGTGACAGTGCCTGGGCCCTTGGACAGGGCTGGCTCCATATGCCCATTCCGACAGCTGGCAGCAGAGATCCTGCTGCAGGGACGGGGCACAGAGAGAGCAAGACTACAGAAGACACTGGCAGGGGCATAAGTCAGCATTGGAGGGCGACAGATCTTAGCTAAGGTCAAAGGGAAGACGAGACCTCCTGTTGCCAGAATAATCCTTAAAAAAAAAAAAATCCCTCCACGATTGGTGAGACATCTCAGTAAGTAAAGAACTTGTTGTCAAGCCTGACAACCTGAGTTTGATCCTCAGAACCCACATGATAGAAGGAGAGAGTTGACACCTACAAGTTGTTCACTGCTGTGGTCTGTTCACATACATATACATATATCATACATGATACATGATAGGTAGGTAGGTAGGTAGATAGATGGATAGATAGATAGATAGATAGATAGATAGATAGATAGATAGATAGATAGATAGATAGATAGATTAATACATAGGTAGATGATAGATTGATGATAGATAAATACATAAATAGGTAGATGATAGATAGATAGATAGATAGATAGATAGATAGATAGATAGATAGATAGATAGATAGATAGATAGATTAGATAGACAGGCAGATGGACAGATACAAAGATGAAACATAATTAAATAAAAACAATTCCTCCAGCTCTAGAGTTCCAAGCCTACCATTTCATGGTGTGTGCTCCAGCCTGGGCCAGGTTACAGGTCAAATGTTAGGCACAAGATGAAGTCTCTGTCATGGTTGGAGACCTGGCAAGAAGGATGTCCCCAGTGGAGCCAGCTATGGGAAAGGCCATTTTACGCCTCTGTGGCCAGCACCTTGGGTGTGCGCTCCCCGCAGGGACTGCCCTTTCTCCCAGTCACTGTGACATGTCAGAAAAGACAAAGGGATTCTTCCTGCCAAACACAACTCCATTTGATCACAGAAAGCCTGTGGTTCCAGAGACTGAAGCAGGAGGAACACCTGAGCCCAGATGTTCCGGGCCGGCCTGGTCCAGACAGCAGTATCCTGTCAACAAAAAGGAAAAGAAACAAAGAAAAGCTATAGTTTATTTTGTTTTTAATATACTCTTATCCTAGTAAATAGTAATTCTCAGCTCATTTATAAGGCCAAGGCTCCTTGGTACTCTACCCTACAGTACCATGCCTTGTGTTTTATACGTACTCATCAACATGTGTTCAGTGGATGGAT